CAACAAAAAATATTCAACTCCTTGAAGCACGGCCCTAATTAATTTTGCCCTTCCCACATAGGACAGAGAGGAGCTAGTCGAGAAGCTAGTCCATGCACTAATGCATGCTGCATTTTATCCAAAAATGGGGCATAATCGCTGACTTTAAGTTTCTGGGATGCAAGTGGAATACCCAAGTACCAAAACGGCATAGTACCCTTTGGAATGTTCATTAATTCTTGGATTACTTCAAGCTCTTGTCCATTAATCCAAATTTGGATAGGCAATCCATTAAAATTTGCACCAACATAACATCTCCCCTAACAAAGAGCATCAAGTCATTCACAAAAGTCAAATGCATGATCTCTAGAGGGCCACATTTAGGATGAAAATTGAATTCACTAAGTCCCAACTTATCGATTCATAAGCCTTCGTAAATCTACATCTAGGGGCAACCCTCTTTTGGTTATATTTTCTTGGAAGCTCTTGCGCAAGATGGATGTTTTCCGTCATACTCCTTCAATCCATGAAAGTGGCTTGTGCTTAGTCAACAATGCTCCCCAAAATAGGCCCAATCTAGATGCAAGGATCTTAGTTATTACCTGTAGAATACATTACAACATGCGATTGGTCTATAATCCCCAATGGTAAGAGAGTGGCTTGACTTCGGTACCAACGCAATGACTGTGTGGTCGATTTGTTTAAGGAGAGATCTAGAAGTAAGAAATCCTTCAATTTCCCCCGCAAAATCATTCTCTACAATCCCCTATGATTTCTTGAAAAAGCAAGACGTGTACCCATCCGGCCCCAGGGATTTGTCATCCCCAATACTAAAAAGTGCTTCCTTGATCTCCAGTCTAGATATGTCCCGAATGAGAGAGCTAACTTGCTCCGAGGTTACAGTCAAGGCCTTCCCACAAAATATCCAACTCAATGGCCTGAATGGGGCTGTTCATGCCTAGTAACTTACAATAAAGAGGATGAATTCTCGAGCAACCTAATTTTGGGAAGATACATCTTCCTCAAGTACGGTCGCAATGAAGTTCCTCTCACTATTCCTTTTCACCACGAAATGGAAAAACTGTGTACATTTGTTACTATTCTTTAAGCAATTACACCTTGCTTGTTGACAGTAAAAGCTCATTTCTACTTCACATAGATCCATGGCTTTCTTTCTAAAGCATGCTACCATATATTGAAGATGTGTATTAGCGGGCTGGTCATGGAGTTTAAGTTGGGCAGCCTCCAATTCCATCTTAGTATTATTGGCCCTTGTGGAAATGTGCGCAATGTGTTTAGCATTAAGCTCTTTCAATGTTCCTTTAAGATTTTGCAACTTCTTGCAATGAACAAATTATTTCGTACCCCCAATGTCAAGATTCCAGCTTATTTGTGCTACCTCGTGGAAGTTTTCATGACTAGTCCACATGTTGAAGAATCTAAACGGCTTTCTAGTGTTCCCTTCTTGCTCAAAACAAGACACAATGCATGAAGAATGATCGGAAAGGCACCCAGAGAGCAAAAAGTCAGCAAGACCATTTGTATCCCTTTGTAACCATTTGTATTAATCATAACTCTATCAATTTTACTCCAAACCGAATTATTAGTCCATGTGTAAAAACAACCTATGGACTTCATATCCGTGAGACAAACATTGAGGCAACAATTAGCAAAGTCCTTTACTTCATATGGAGTAACCTCTACTCCATTGCTCTTTTCATCATTCTTAAGCATATTGTTGAAATCACCAAGAATCATCCAGGTCAATGAACAATTTGAGCTAAACTTCATAATATTATTTCAAAATGGCCTCCGACTAACGATAGTACGAAAAGCATAAACGAAACTCACATGAAAGGTGTAGGAAGTTACGTTACATGTAGCCAACCAATGAATCACTTTGGATGAATCCCATAGAATCAATATCCTACCAGCTTGATGGGTGGAAAATTTGTTTACTTGTGATATGGTAAATTTATTCCGCATAACTCGTAATAGCTTTGGTTGATCAAGTTTTGTCTCCAAGATACCCATGACATCAATGTTGTAATGTTTCGTAAAGTGTCGAACGCCATTTTGTTTGAGGGGCTGGTTCATACCCCTAATGTTCCATGCAGCGATCTTCATAAAGATATCAAAAGGGCACCCCCTTCTTCTTATCTTTGTTGATTGCTATGTACTTTTTCTCTTCAAGCTTTCCCTTAAGTTTCTCGTTCCAAGCTGCCTTAGAATTCGAGCATTTTAATATCCACAGCCACTGATGATTGATGCACTGACCGTACTTCAAGATCACTGCCCCCGGAATGTTGAGTTTTTGAAGTTGCCGTCTGCCCTTTTCAGTTGGTTCTTGCTTTTCTTATTAGAAACCTCAATAAATGGCGTTTCTTGGTCTGCACCCTGTTGCTCAACCTCAGTCCCCCTCGGGCCCCATATCCTGGCCATTAGTCCACAAATCAGCACCCTGTTCTGCCTGAACACACAAATCAGCACCCTGTTCTACATGGTTGTTCTCTCGCTAGGCCTGTTTTGTGGCCGTAGGTAGTTTGGGGTCATTAACTTTATTGGGATTGACCTAAGGGACTGCAGCCTGCTTATTTAGGTTACATCCGAGTGTAGAATGGCCAAACATTTTGCACGTTGAATAAAATTTGGGCACATTTTCATAAAGAACTTGTTCCTTTAACTTACCATTGGGCAATTTCATCTTAACGGATCGCACTAACTCAATAAACGCATCAACTTCCACGAGTACTCTTGCATAAGATAGCCTCCCTTCTGTAGAATTGAGTTTGTCATTTGATATAGGTTTTCCAATTTTAGACACAATCTTCCCTAGGTCATTCGATGTCCAACATTCCAAAGGTAAGTCCGGTGAATTGACCAGCATAGAGCTAACCTCTTTGCCATCAAAACCATAAATATTGAGGCATAACTTTCAACGTTAGGGGTCTACCAGACGAAATAGGGACCTCCATGAAGTGAGTGGGCCACTTGATTAATTCAAAGAACCGTGTTGGATGGACAGGGCCATGTATTTTTTCCTAATTCAAATGAGAGTTGTATACATGTGCTCTACTAGAATTGCAATAGAACCAACTAACTTCTAGTGCAATCGTCGATCCCTAGTGGTCGATCGACACCATCAAGTGGTTTGCATAGCATTAACTAGTTTGCGGGCCAAACACTTCTTGGGCTAGTGTTTTCCCATGTATCAGATAAATAGACTAAATAGATAAACACACCGCAACCAACAAGTAATCCCACATCTAATTGATAAAGATGCAGGAACAAATGTAGAAAAAGAAAAATCGAGAAATCAAGTCTCCTGTGCGTATTTGGTAGATGATTAAATTAACTTTTAAGTTGTAGGTCCTACCATATGTATTAATAATAAGTGAATAATTATTGTAAATAAAAAGAAAGCTTTGACTTAAAAAGCAATTAAAAGAAAAACACCTAGCTAACATGGCAGGCAATGTGGTAGGAGATGATGAATTCTACATTTCTTTGGTGACACGAGTGCAAAGGAGAAAAGTTGGGGATATAGACTTTCTTTCGCGTATTTAGAAATGCTAATTGCGCTTATAATGATAATGTAATAAATAAATAAATAAATTAGACCTCTATATTTCTTAATATTGTTCAATTCCACATATCAAACACATAATATATTCTGCACATGCATCAAGATACGCGACATGACCTACTCATCTCGCTTGGCGAGACACATTAGGCCTTAGGGCAGTAAGAAAAATAAATATCTAGCCAGAACTCGACTAAAAAGTTTAGATAATCAATCAATAACTACTAAGTTAATACAAAGATGAAACAAGCCAGTTACCCTGAGAAATTCTCAAACTTGTCAAGAAACAACAAATACAATACTAGCAGAGTAGAAGCTCGAAAAAACCTTCAGGTTGAGTAGTACCTATTATTATATGATGGCACTGTCAAAAACATTCTAGAAAACCTTAGGGTTGATGCAGTCTCACTACTCACCATTCACTCTCGAAAAACCCAAGAATTCTATAATTATTGTCAAGAAACAACAAATACAATACTAGCAGAGTAGAAGCTCGAAAAAACCTTCAGGTTGAGTAGTACCTATTATTATATGATGGCACTGTCAAAAACATTCTAGAAAACCTTAGGGTTGATGCAGTCTCACTACTCACCATTCACTCTCGAAAAACCCAAGAATTCTATAAATACAATGTCGCTCGCAATTCACTCCATGAGATTCGCACCAAGTAGTTATCTTTAACTCCAAGGACGCACTGCTGACCACGACTAGACACTATACAGTATTTGTCAAATCTTTGTATGAAGCATGTTATCAGCAACAATTAATCCATTTATACTGAAGAAAATTTCACAGAAGATTGACAGAATACTCTCATGATATGGGACCCACCATGAAAATAAAAATTGCCAAAAAATACCCCATCCCCCTTCCAATGTGTGTGTTCTAGCTAGCTACTGTGAAAAAGCATTCAGTACATCAAGCATTATTCTATTAGCAGATAATGACTTTCTCAACAAGATTATAACTGCACAGGACACGTGTATCAAGATGAGTTCCAAAACTTGGATGGTGCATGTGGTGGAAATTTTTGAATACTAGACTCAACAGGATCACTATAGTGATATAGAACAGATGAGAAGAATTGTAACAATATCAGATTATCGTTTTTCACGAGGAAATTTCAGCCATAGAAACATTAAAAGCAAATAAAATGAAGCAACAACCTCATTAAAGTAAAATCTACAGAGAATTTGCATTGAATAAATTAATGCATTTGCGAAGTATTATGCATCAAACACAGCCTAGTTACAAGGACAGGAAATGTGTCTCAAGCACAGACAATATAATTGGCCAAATCATAAATCAAACTTGACCGCTGAATCTCTACGAATGTATCGTATGTACACTAAATAAATGTTTCGGAAAATGGCATTACTTTGAAATTTCAAATTTCCTCCCTGTGAAAATCATCCTACTCACCATTTATGCCCAAAAATGCAGCTTCATCCTTCAAGTAAAAATGACCACTTCATGCAAATTGTTTCAACCATTGCACTAGCCAACGGCCCTTTTTGCCAGTCAAATGAATGAGACAACATAGATATAACTATTTCAAGCCACTAATTGTTTTAACTGCGTCAGTTCCAGAAACACATTCATCTTCTAAAAATGGAATTGCCTTCCACACTGTCAAGTTGACCTGAATAGTTCTTTTGCCTACAAATCAACATCCTGGGGTCAAACTTTTCTCTATAGATATTCCTCAAATCATGCCAAATTCTGAGTAATACCTTCAATGGCACCATTATTTTCCACGCAAATGGCTGCATAATGAGAACCAGCCAACTCTAAAAGCAAAAACTGCCAATTTCTTGTAAGATTCAAGGGGTCATCAAAAAAATCCACTACTATTTCCTGAGCATGAGAGCACACTTGACATGTAACCAGATGAAGTAGTGAATTCTATATTAATTAAATGAAGAGACACATACTGAAAAAGAAGTGCCTTACTAGAAATTTGAAATAAAAATTTGAAACCTACAAAGTCAAGAATAGGATCTTGTTCAAGTAAACTAGCATGCACATACAACTAGCAGGTTAGGACTGAGGAGAATTGATTTCATATTAGACATCTATTTCGGACATAGAGTTGCAACGTTCAGGGATATAAATGTGCTTTCAAGAGACTACATCCTTGACACAGAAAGATGTGGACTTTTTCCCTTTCCTCTTCATTTTTTGGTAAATAATCAACATGTGGACTTCTAGCTTATTTAGAAATTTGTCGTTCTCTTCTTTTCTTTCTTTTGGATTTCTATCCAAAAGTTTTGTTCATTCCCTTTCCTCTTTTTCCTGAAAGAAAAGAAAGACCTGTGACCAGAAGGATTTTTCCCCCTCAAAACAAGATAAACGATGAAGAAAATACAAGAAGGATGACATAGCCAAGCATTTAAAAAATCTCTACCACATTGGTTTAATCCAAATACTTCGCCTTCAATTTCAATCTAATATGCTCTGTTGCACGGAAACCTCAATTAGGTAGCACATCCTCATCCGACACGTGTCGAAGATATGTCAAATAACGACACTTGGACACTCTACCATGAGCATTTTTCTTTTTTTATTAAAAATATTATATATTTTTTTCTTAAAGTTATTAATAAATAATAAATAAGCACTTCTATTTAAAAGAGTTCAAAAAGGAAAATTAAAGTATAAAAATAAATTTCTATTATATAAATGAAAATTCTTAAAGAATTTAATCAACGTTTCATGTCAGTACTTTTTTGAAAAATTGTACATCGACGTGTCGGACACACGTACCCATGTCGGTGCATTGTAGCTAATATGGTAAGATGGAATACATAATCTAAACAGTAATTACTTCACATTCAATCTCAAAAAGAAATTTCGTAACAAACCTCAGAATTTGAATTCTCCAATGGACTAAAGCTACTTCCTTTATAGTGAATAGTAAATGTCTTGAAAGATGCACCAGAAAATCCCCTTCCCAGTGCTTTGACATATGCCTCCTGGAAATAAATTGCCTTCAGAAAAATCGTGAATTGGAGAATGGTGTTTTTCATTGCATTTCAAGTAAGATTCATTTATCAATAGGTCCATAAAGAAGCTGGATGACAGAAGAAGGAACATGAAAAAATTAATGAGTAAGACCTTGAGTGTCCATAATTTTACAAATTCGTGGCGTTGAACTTCAGGGTCCAAAATATCAGCTAAGAAAAGAACTTCATCTTTAGAGAAGTATCGTCGAGCAAAAGACAAGATACTGTGTTTTATAGTTCTGTGTTTTTCTTCCACGTCAATGCCAATCTATATTTTGAATCACACCAGACAAGCCTTTTTCAGTATAACATCAGGTAAATAAAACGAAAAATAAAAACAATTAATTTATCAAATCGATTGCATAACCCAACAGCAAGAATTATCACAGTACTAACTTGAGAATTGATGGTTACTCCACAAGCTACCAAAGAAGAGGTGTGTGAGATGTTGAAATGCAAAGGAGGTGAACGCCATTGATCACTAAATTGCCATTCTAGCTGCCAAAACATTCCACAACTGTTAAAAGTGTAAGCATAGAGAGTTGAATGACACTAAAAGGAGTAAAAAATTAATTTAAAACTAACCTCAGGCTTCCCGTGAACGTTCTTTCTGAACCTTAATGATCTTGGACTAACTTGGACCGAATATCATTATATTTTTGCCAAATCATGTAAACTTCACATCAAATACAAGCATTTCACTGACTGTTTCAGCAGAGATATGCAGCTCCAATTTATGGTTAAGTATGAATTCTACTAAAGAACTCATGAGAGAAAAAATACAATTCCGAGGCAGTAAGATTACAAATGCAAACATTTTCCCAATTTGATCACCTTTTATTTCCAGATGGATGTCATCATAAATATCATTATCTTTATTTAATTGATTTGTAGCGATTATTATTATTTTTTTCGTCTTTTTTTTTTTTTTTGGTTGGTAATGGAAACCAATTCTAAGAATTATTGTAAAAAAATATTTCCCTTTAATTGACAATTTTCATATAAACCAAAGCCAAACGAACATTAAAAAACACTTTTATTTCGACATTTTCCACTTGAAAAATTATACCAATCAAACACAATAATTTACAATTTTCAGGAAAACAATTCTAGGCAATTCAATTCCCTGGAATTCGTTTTCTAGGCAATTCAATTCCATCTTTGCAATCAAACGGACCCTTATTGTTTTCTCCTCATATTTTATTTAACATAATTTTTTATATGCCAATGGCCAATCAATTTAAATATCGTTTGAATAATTTAAGAAGTAGAGTATTGAAATATATGACTTAGTAAGTTAGGTTCTTTATTTTAAAAAAGTTAAAATAGAGTTTATTAAAGCATTTTCAAGAGACTTTTTAAATACAAAATGCTTTTTATCTTAAAGAGCTAGTGCTTAAAAATAAATTCCAAGAGACTCTATTTTAACTTTTTTAAATAGAGAGGATTTGACTCTTTAAATTTAGAGAGTCAAACTCACTCTATTCTTCATGTACAATTATTGTATTTAATAAGTCGTGGGTTTCAATGCTCTACTTTTTAAATTATTCAAACCACATTTAGCACCCGTTTGGCCCCCATTTTTGAAAATGAAAATGGATGGAATAGTATTTTTTTGAAAAACGAGTGGTTGAAAAAGAATGAAAAGTTTTCGATTTACGTATAATATTATTTTATGATAGATTGTGTGGTTGAAAAAAGGAGAGAGAAAAATGAAATAGAATTTAATGAGGGCCAAATGGGGGCTTAATTTGATTCGCCATTCACATTTAAAAATTATATTAAATAAAATATGAGGAGAAATTAATAAATGTTTCTTGAGAATAGCAAAATAAATAGCCAAAATAGAGAGCACTATCGGAGTGCATAAAAATTTTGACTCTTTAAATTAAAGATGCTCCCTATAATACATAACATAATGTTTATAAATAGAGTCTTAGAGATACTCTTAGAGCTTATTTTTAAGCATAAATTCTTCAAAATAAAGAGCATTTTATATTTATATAGTCTCTTGAAAATGTTCTAAAAGCCTTAAACTAGAAAAAACAATTAACAACACCCTTATTTGGAGAGCTCATAGCTCCCAAACTTGAAATCCAGAATTCACAAAGAAATTAGTTCAAATTGTATATAAATATAACTAATTCATATTCCAACTTGAAATCATAAAAAGGACAAGAAAATATAGTATGTTCATATTAAACGATAACATACATCTGGCAATGGTTGTGCGGACCAATGCACGAGCTAGCAGGGCTCTCTTCCTGGGCTCCTCACCATGCATTTGAAACACATAATCTTTCTCACACGAAGGTAGAACATCCAAATACTGGTTAAGTAAAGCTTTGCTCTTCACTTCACTGGGCATAACATACCACAAATGAGTCTCCTACAACCCAATAAAATCACCATGTCAAGGGATAAACCCTATATCAATTAAATATCGAAATATAGAGCAACATACAAGGATTTGGACCACTCCTCTTATTAAAGTTAACTTTTAAGATGAAACCAAGTCTTAATATAGCCCCAGTTTGGTCTTGATTAAAATCGAATTTTAATCTAAGTTAAAGTCAAACAATCAATATTAACTACATATTTCATACGTCCCATAACTTTTCAACTACACATTTCATAAATTTACTAAAAATATAATTTTAATTCCCACCAAACATGACTTTAGTATTACAGCCCATTAAACTAAAAAATAAACACACACAAATTTCAAGATTGATCTCTTCTAACGAGCCATCATCTCGTGGGACATGTCAAGAGATAAATTACATGTCAGTTAAATACCAAAATATATAGACCAACGTATAAGAGCTTCGGCTACTCTTAGTAGTTGAACTTTTCTGATGAACCCAAGTCTTAATGCACTGAAAAATATCATCAAGTGTCACTCTATAATCTAATAGAATTTTATACATAAAAGACAGAAAATTGATGGAGAAAATGATTAATATTAAAGCTTACACACATCGGTGAAGGGAGTTGAATGGGCATCAACGAAGGTGAAGAGTGGAGGAATTTCCTGTCAAAGCAATGTAATTTCATTCTGAAATACGATATGCGCACCAAATGAAAAATTGGATTCGTAGAAATGATCAATATTTGCAGATAAATAAACACAACTTTAGAGGATGGCGGATATATTTTCTTTAATCTGGGTATTGTTTGGTTCAATGGGAATTGACTGGGAGTCCGACCTGGATACAGCTTCTCAGACTTCGCGGGTCTGTTTTGCCCTTTCAATTGGGTTATATGCGCTAAAATCTCGATGAATATTTAACAATAATAATTTCGCTTAAAAAATAAGAGCAATGTTATTTATAATCGTTCGCTATAATAGTTATCCTATATGGTATCTTATATGACAGTTTGTGATTTAATATATTAATATGGTAAATTTTTATTGACTCATGTATCAAATCACTAATCGTCACATGTATGCTGCATAATATGACTGTAATAATAAGTGACTACAAATAGTGTTATTCAAAAAAATAAAGGCTTTAAAATTGAACTAAGGTTAGTGTCTAAACTAATAATATTGTTAAATACGTAAAAAATTATTTTATTAAAAATTCTTTAAAGTAAACAAAAATGTAAAATAATAATTGATTAAATACATAAAATTTTATAATTTATAATAAAATGCATTTTACGATACTCCTATCTATCTTTCCAATTCGCCCGATTTGGGCTTCAATTTTTTGAAAATGTATTTTTATCTCTTTATTTTAATTGAATATTCTCCAATAAAATAATATCACATGTAAATTCAAAACTTTTCATTCTTTTTAAACCACATATTTTCCAAAAAATCATTATTCCAAAATACAATTTTTCTCAAAATTTGAGCGTGCTATACTTGCACTTTGTTGACAATGTGTGATGTGACAAACAATCTAACCATTTATTTAAATAACAATATTTTAAATCAATTGCTAGAAATTTTTCACATCATACAATGTCAACAGCAATGTATGATTTGAATTTACAAATAATCTTATCCAAATTTGATTTTAATAGAGCCCAAACAAGGACTCAACATATTTAGAAAATGCATCTAAAGTTGTTCCTTCTTTGTACTCAAAACCGAACTTAACATCATCCCTAATTTTTTTTTTTTTTTTTTTTTTTTTTTAAGAAATGCATATACCGTTATTTGCTACGTTGATGAAGTTCAATAGGCATTCCTCATCCTTATTTCGAAAGCTAGTCCAACCTTACTATTAATTACTAATAAGAAAAATGATGTAATATCCCACATGTTTTCTGGTGTCATATGAAAGATCATCAAACTTGAGAGGAAAAGATGAAATAAATTACATTAAGAAATAACAATATAGGTTTTTTCTGGCTAAACAAGATTCATTACACTGAGAATTACAAAATTATGCAGCACCAAATAGAGAAATCGCAGACTGTGTAGGACAAGCTACTGAAGGAAGTCTATAGTAAGATGAAGAAATGCGAGAGTAACTCCACGCAGAATTGAATAGCAATTGAATGAATCCTGCACATGATCTCCAAACAGAAATCAAAATGCATATAACATCTTCCATCAGTTGGCATATTTGCCGTCCCTGACATCGTCCAAAAGCATAATTTGACGAACTTCACCTCCAGGGTTCAACACGTTCTGTTTGTGAACTTAAGAGGCTAGCGATGCTTTTTTCCTTGCTCTTTTCTGAGTTCTCGGAAACATGGACTACAGTTGGCTGAATAACCTTCTTGGCTGTGTTCTTACTCGATTGGCCCATTTTAGTCCTCCGGCTTTTTGCTTGCGACTGTCTGATTCTCACAGAAGTGTTACCGTCTCCAACTCTATCATTTGTTGAGTCAACATGATTTGTGATATTGATGGGGCAAGTCACAGCCATGTGTTCCTTTCCATCAGGAATGATATTCTCGATAGAGCTTAGAAAACAAGGCGTTTCATTGCTGGTACTGTTAAATTCTGCCTGGGAAGAGTCTTCAGCATCATTAAGTAGTGGTTCATTTGTCACATTAACTTGGTCATTTTCACTTACCTCAATGGCCTTCTGGGCCATTGGTTCCCCAGTCCCATGATGACCATCTTCATCAGCTGGCTCAATTTGTTGTACACGAGTTACGTCTACAACAGAATCTTCTCTTTCTCTCAAGGTTTTCTCTATCAGAGTCCTGAGAAAATTCATAACTTGGACTGCATACATTAATGCTGTCAAAGGGTCGGACATCTGCACACAGTTAAAAATTAGCCATCCTCAAACTCGGAAAAATAATTCTCATCAGAAAAGGAGACTTTTTTTTTTCTGTAGATTATGCTTATGGACTTAATTGATTACAGGATGACAGTTTATTTCCACTCGCCTGAGTCATGTTTGGTGCAAACACCATGGCAATATTACGTGCATTCATTTTATTCAGATGTTCCAACTGAGAAACATCGGCCATTAAATTTATTGCCCAGTCCAACAGCGCAGCCTCTGTAGGCGGCAGTAGCCTTGCAAGCTGAGTGCACTCATCTTCTGATTGAGCCTGCATAACTTGCTCTGGTGAAAGAGGGTCTAACAACCCTCGAGGGAGTTCTCTGAACCAAGCCTAAAGAGCACCAACACCGATGAATTAATGCAACATTTATCAGATAAGCAAAAAAATCGGACATGCCAGAATTCACTAAATGCATATAGATGCATAAATGAAAGAGGCATATATAAGAACAGCCAGCAGAATGGCTACTTTGTCTAACTTTGAATATCTACTGAATTATCTTCATGCTATAGGGCATAATAAATGATCAGTAACCTATATAAGATCATTTTGTGACACAAAAAGAACGAAAAGAAGATCAAGTGGCAGAGCAGTACCTTAATAAGACCTGCTAAACAATGAACATCAATGTCATCAGGCACCTCTCGATTGTTTAGTTGTTCCCTAACATACTCTTCCTGGCCATTCTCAGCGTTAATTCTAAAGATTCCTTCCGCCTACAAATGGCTATGGATTAATGAATTTCCTCCAAATTGGAACAATATAAACATAGAAAGATTTTTAACTACTTAATCGAATATTCTGTTCTATATTAATTTTACGACCAAAAAAAATTTTTTTTTTCCTATAGTAATAGTGTGATGTTACCTGCAGTCCACCTTGGCAATACAAGCGTCTTTGCATCATTAGAAGTATTGTGGGAATACAATTACCTCTGGAATCGAAAGAAAGCTGCATAGACTCTGTCGAAACTCCAAAAACTCTTGTACTATACAAAGAATAACATCAAAGTTGATAAGTACAACGTAAACTTGAGCATGGGCAGTGTACATTAGCTAACTAGCCAATCAAAAATCGTGAAAATATTAAAATAATATCATTTTAAGGCCTCATAGCCTTTTAGATTATAACAACCACACAAATTAATAAGAAAGTAATCCAAACATGTCTATATTTTCATCTTTATACGATGTCAGATTTTATCCCTTTACAGTTCATGATATTTTCTGATTCATTTATAGTTTGATTGTGTACTAGTATAAGCTTCTACTAATCAAAAATCGTGAAAATATTAAAATAATATCATTTTAAGGCCTCATAGCCTTTTAGATTATAACAACCACACAAATTAATAAGAAAGTAATCCAAACATGTCTATATTTTCATCTTTATTCGATGTCAGATTTTATCCCTTTACAGTTCATGATATTTTCTGATTCATTTATAGTTTGATTGTGTACTAGTATAAGCTTCTACTTCATCTTGACAATTTCATCAAAAGAAAAGCTACACAATTAGTGTTTCTAGTCAATCTCATATTCCGGGTAACCACCTTGTATGAAAAAAAATTAAACTTTTGATCGAGACAGTTCAAAGCAGTATCATGTTCAAGTTAAGATATTTAACAGAAAAATGAATCGAACTCGTGACTCGATTTAGTGGTGGGGTGAAATTGAAAACATTAACTAACCTTGCACTAGGAGGTCTTCTAGGAACTTCAGGTTCAAACTCAACAGGGAGCCCAAGAAACCCATTGAACCTATCAAAAATGACATGAGCTACATGTCTGACATTTGTAGGCCACCCAATCTCCATCAGCCTCTCAACGCCGCCACTCTCCGCCGATGTACTCCGATAACCCACCAAAGATTTCCTAAAAACACTCACTAAAACTTCCAAAACAGAAAACTGATCCCCTTCTCTTCCTTCTTGTTCTACCTCTTCTTGGCCTTGCATACCGTTATTTCTCATGTAAAAAGCTACAGGGTGCCCATTAAAAAGGGATTCATTGTTAAGAAAAGCCAGTTGGTGAAACCCATCAACGTTTGAGGGCAATACACGTGTAACAGTGCTTGAAGTTGAAGACAAATTTTTAGTGGGGAAGAATGCAATATGTCTGTAATTTCTTGAATTGTCAATAGTGCGTGTTGTGTGTGTCTCAAGATTGGGGTTTTATTGGAGGGAAATTGGCAAAGTTTGGTGGGTCTATCTTTTTATTTTTATTTTTTTTGGTAAATTTATTATATATGGTAATGATGGTAATGGGTTGGGTAGATTATGAGTTACAAATAGAGTTGATGACAGGATTTAAAAATAAAGGAACACGTGTCAATATTTTATTGGACAGTTCGAAAAAAAAAGAGCCACACAGATGCAATCAATGCAATACCTGTCACTAATCCTGTCCCTAAACCCTGTCCAAATAGCATAACTCGATAAATTATTGTAGAGAAATGATGCTATCGATATAGATCTGACCCTGTATTGCCTCGTACGTGAGGCAATTTCCATGATAGAGTGATGAATATTGAAAATAGAGGAGTAGAAATTGGATATGAATGATTTGGGACTTGTTCAGTGGAGTTTGTTTCAAGTAAAGGTGTTTTAGGCCGTCGAGACTTGTACATAATCGTTCACTTTTCTGTCATATGCACATACAGTGTTTAATGTATGTGTAACTGTATATAAATTATTGCTCATGCTTTGAGTCCATATTTCAAAAAATAAATTTTTAAAAATTAGAGTCAAAGAGGAATTTATTCTATCAAGCATAACTCTTTCTTCTATCAAGATCTTTAAAGAGTCATTAGATAAGATTTTACGTCTTGTTTGGTGGAATTTAAGTCAAATTTTTAGCAAATTTTAATAAAAATTTATAAAATATGTTATTAAAAATTTGTGAATCCTATAACATATGTAATTAAAATTTATTATTAACCTTGATTTAGATCAAAATTCCCATCAAACACATAAGAATGGCAAAAGATCTTGCTTCTACCCCGTCTTGTTGCCCTGCTCCCATGGAGAATTGGCGTCCCACCTCTTATTTTTATTTTATTTCATATTTTAAAATATTAAATCGTATTTAAAGCTTGTTTGACAATAATTTTTCCAATTAATATGTATTTAAAAAGAGAGAAGTTACGTTCCGTAGAATCTGTGGGTTGAGAATGATTTTCGAAAAAAAATTGTGCCAAACATGCTCTTCAAAATAATACATGTCCAAGACACGATGAAAAATTAAGATATTTTAATCATGTCTTGTACTAGTCTTCTTCACTTATACGATGTAATAAATAAAATTTTAATTTTTTTTTTTTTTATTAATCATGTTGAATGGCAAGCGCACAACTGGTAAAAATGAAAGTAATGAAGCCAGGCACCTTCTCGTGACGTCTAGCAACTGAACGACAAGCAAAAGATGGTCTTCAATGTGCACCGGTGCAACATCTAAGCACGGTGCAGGGTTTAATAACAGAAATGTTATTTTAAAGCCATGGATAGAAGAGCAGAAGGCATATGGTATTTAGCTAGAATTCCATCAAAATCAATATTCCTAATTATCAACACTCCAGATGATTGAATGTCGACAAAATTCTTTTAAACTACATAATGTTTTGGCACTAAAAGGAAAAGACAAACTTGCAACTTAAGAGATCCAATAGAAAGCCATAAGTACGCCAGAAGAGAGGGCAAGTCACAGCCTCCTTCCCCTTCTGCCACCCTTTCTCCGAGTGCTGTCGGTAGGAATTGGAGTCACGTCCTCTGAAAGAAGATCAAATAAGTAATTACCACTAAATGATTCAGCCCATTAACGAAAATATTTGAAAGCATTTTTACGTTAAAAAAAAAAAAAAAAAAAAGAGGAATCAATGTTGGGCATTTGATTATTAGTGTTAGTAAATCAAAGCTAAATGTCTACTTTTCCATCCAAAAAGGAGATTGCATGCAAATGTGAATGCACGAACAAACTGACACTGGAAGGATTTACTGGATTGATTACAAGGATGACATAGGAAGAGTTATGATCATAGTTCTTAATGCTGAGTCAAGGCCAACTGAATCTCAGAAAATCATATACCTATGCGACCAATCTTCATGCCTGAACGTGCAAGGGCTCTAAGTGCAGACTGTGCACCAGGACCAGGGGTCTTAGTTTTGTTCCCACCAGTTGCTCGAAGCTTAATATGAAGTGCATTAATCCCAAGTTCCTGCAAAATTCCAAGCAGTAAAACAGTTAACCAGTAATATGTACGATTTTCCATTTAATTTCTATACAATCATTCAGAAATGAGAAAATTATGTCCCTTTTGTTACAAACATAGGAAATAACCTAAACCTTGCATCGTTGAGAGACATCCTGTGCTGCAAGCATAGCTGCATATGGGGAAGACTCATCCCTGTCAGCCTTTACCTTCATACCACCTGCAATCACAAAGGAAGAAGATGATCAAGAATTGGGGGAAAAAATAACAAGGGAGACCTTCAATAATTTATGGCACGCGAAGGAAAGCACTGAGGTTGTGTTTGAGCCCCTTTAATTTGAAAAATGTATTATGGAATGGTAGATTGATGGATAATGTATGGTTAAAAAATGAGAAGTTTTTGGTTTGCGTGTAATATTAAGTTAATAAAGAATGTGTGGTTGAAAATGAGTATTGTAGAAAAAATAATGTGATGGAATGTAAAATAATGGGTGACAAGCAGGGGCTGAATCTGCAAATACCCATGAACCTTGCACCTACGTTGCAAATTGTTCAAGTACACATTTACTTCGACAAAACTAAAAGGGTCCTAATAGATGTAATGAAAATCAGCAACCACAACCCAACTCATTCCAAGTCTTGAACAATATATCACTGATTCACCCAGGAGATCAAATTTTAAAAGAAACATAATCAAAACTAATAACTACGAAGATTTTACAGCACAAAGCAATTGAAAACCATAGTATTTAAACCAAAAGCATAAACCCTCTACCTGTAATACGAACCATGGTTTCCCTACCAGACAAATCAGTCACGTGCTGCAAGCACAAAGCCAATGTGATTAAAAGGTCATGTCAAACAGTTGTTTACTGCTTTCTAAATATGCACAACAGACATCAATCAAGAATTGCAAACTGTAGTACTTACAATGAAGGTGTCGTTGAATGAAGCAAAAATGTGGGCCACGCCAAACACTAGTTCTCCATCTCTAGTGGCAGGTCCTAGAGTGACATTCTCTTCCTTGGGCTCTCTGGTCTTTCTCCTCGACTATTACATAACAAAATGAAATGAATCTTCATAAAGACATATAATCCAATTTGTCATGCTTTGTTCAAAATATTCTCATTCAATTTACTTAGAAAAGTTGAGCAATATATTAATCACTCATGATCAGTACTCCTTGGATAATTAGGAACAATAAAAGGAAAATTAGGCCTCGTAAAAAAATGAGCAAAATGATAGCACATTTCCTCCTGCAAATAAAAAAAATATAACATTTGTATATTTTCTTATTAGTTGAACTCGGATGGCAAAAAAATTCCAGACTATACTTATTTTGCAACATTATAGAACAGATTAATGTATAGGTAAATTACACGTCATTCTTGTAAACCATTCAAGTCTCCCATAAATATTTTAAGAGATAACCACAGAAACATTTAAATCCTAGGAGGAGCCCTTGTGAAAATGCACTTTAATGCGAAGCCATTTGCCTCTATGAGCACAATCATATATCTCATAAAACAATTGTATCAACCAAAATGGGCACCCTGCCCAAAATAAATATTTTTTCCCCAAAGAACAATTATTCATTCTAGTGAGCATCGAATCCAAGTCAAAGAATAAGACATAATGCAAAATCAAATAAATTTCCACAGATATTAATCCACCAATAAATCGATTAATTTCTCAAATCGGGAAAGATTAAACACTACAAAATGTGTAAATTTGTACCCCGTCAGAATACCCATCCCCGATTAAATAATAAACATGTAGAAAAGGAAAACAACGTAAAAGACAGAGAAACATTCATAGATGTGTATGTATCAAGAGGCGCTGTTGAAGAGGCTTACCATGGCTTTGGGAAATAAGACGACACAGAAGAATTAGTTGCGTCTGACGCTTGGAAAACCCTAGCAATGGAGGTGAGGACGTGTACTCCTCGAATTATATAGCTAGGGTTTTGGGCCCAGGTGAGGGATTTGATTTTCCGTAAAAGCCCCTCCAGTTTCTTCACACTGCGGATGAACCCCCGGAATTAAAAAATTAAGCTCCCATTTAACCCCATTAAATTACATTACATTCTATTTTTCTATCTCATATTTTCAATCATACAATCTTTTATAAAATAATATTACATGTAAATCAAAAAAATTTCCCTCTTTTTCAATCACTCATTTTTCAAAAAAATACTATTCTACCAATTTTCATTACCAAGTAATGAAAATCAAACAGGGCTAAAACAAGAAAAAAATAATAATAATCAAGGAACAATACATGATCCGACGTATAAGGATTACATTTCGAATTTAAAAAACTTATCAAACTATTTTAAAATTCAGATGCTAATTTCAATTAATAAAATACATAACCCAATTACAACCCCGCACCCCCCGCAAATTAATAATATATCAATTAATAACACTCCAAAGACCCCACCCCCTTCATCCCACCTAACCCCAACATATGGACCCATCCTATCCCTACGATAATTTTTTATTCAAAAATTGAAAACTTTTCTCAAGATTACACGCCATCCACATGATCACACTCCATCCCAACTTATAAAAAAATTTCAAAAATTAATAATCATTTATGAAGATTACACACCACATCCACCCACCAATTCAGCTCGAACCGCCCGTAGCTCGGCTCGAGGCTCGATTCTATCTAGCCTCATTTTGGGAGGACGGGCCGAGCCCAAGCTGGCCTGCAAGCCTGAGAAGGGGAGAAAAAAAAATTTAGGCAGCAAAATGCTAGCTTAAGAGGCAGTCGACTGTGCTGCCTTAAAAGGCAGGTATTAATATATAATATAAAAAAAGAGGTAAAAAAAGCAAGCCTATCGGGCCCGACCCAAGCCAAAAGCTCTGTCCGGCTCGTTGACATCCCTACACCCACCCCCACGAACCTCACCCACCTCACTTATAGAAAATTTTTAAAAAATTGAAAACTTTTTTTGAGATTACACCCCACCCCTACCATCACACCTACTCCACCTATCCCTAACTTGTAAAATTTTTTCAAAAAATTAAAAATCTTCTATAAAGATTACACCCACCCTGAAACCACCTCCACCTACTCTTTGAAAAATATTCAAAAAATTTTGAACATTTTTTGGAGATTATACCCTACCCCCATGTAATAATCCCAAATTTGTGACTAACTATGTTATTTGTGAACAATTTTTTTTACTAGACTTGTGTTATATGTGACCAACTTTGACTAAATTTTTATTAAGGGTGATTGTTGTGACCGTCTAATTTGTAACTGTACGCAACCAAGTCACAAGCATGTGTTGTCTTTGACCATTTGGGACCAAAATTGTTCTTAGTGTGACTAATTGTGACAAATTTGTTTTCAATGTGATTATCTGTGATCATGTCAATTTTAAATGTGACGATATGTGATTAAATTACAATCGATCACAATTAACTAAAATTGATCACAATAAACACATATTTGGTCACAGAGTGTTACCACAAACATATTTGCACACACCACAGACTAGTACCATAATCCACCTCCAGTCACCACCATCATAACCTCCAATGCACCACCAATACTACCTTCAATTCAAATTGATGATTATAAGTATTACATTCGCCTCAAATATTACCAAACATCACCAACAATTAACACCACAGTATAAAATTCTTTTTTTTAAGGCATAACTAAGAATATCTGTAAGTGGGATCAATCAGTAATTTAACATCATCTCTTCTCAATTCTTGTTTTCCTCCATAACCTCCAATGCACCACCAATACTACCTTCAATTCAAATTGATGATTATAAGTATTACATTCGCCTCAAATATTACCAAACATCACCAACAATTAACACCACAGTATAAAATTCTTTTTTTTTAAGGCATAACTAAGAATATCTGTAAGTGGGATCAATCAGTAATTTAACATCATCTCTTCTCAATTCTTGTTTTCCTTTCAATTGATAAACTAATTTTC